GTCACGGCCATTATTACCCGACCGCCGGTAAGAAATTAGTGAAAAGCCTGGAGATTCATGGCGAGCCAGTACAGCGGCGTCAATCTCTCCAAGTTGTGATCTGGTTCCTGTGAGCTGACAAACATAGACAACTAGGTGGTGTGTCATCTCTCGCTGAGTCCTAGTTACGCTACTATCGTAGCTGTAGAGCCACTTGGGGAAGCGGTATTTATTGAGCACAAACAGGACACCGTTCTACCCATTCGAGCGACGCACCGAAAGTCGGACGATGTCAAGAGCGAATACACAAATGTTAGTAAACGGATATATCCTGTCAAAATGGTGACAACAAACCTTATAAGTCTGCTTCGACTCGCCTTCTCTGTCTGCTCGTATCCAGACACTCTGCGTCGCCTTCCGGTTGTCTGTGGACAGTAGAGTCTCCGGTAGAGAGACAACCTCTCCTGGCCGCAGTCTGTGTTCAATGTTTACGTCATTTTCCTCAATTCTCGATGTATTGATTAGATTCATGGGCCACGGAGGAATCACACGCGAAGGTTCGAAGCGAGCGCAGACCAGTAAATTCCTCTGACTAGCAGCCGATACTTCAGCATCGAAAGTCACCAATACGTGGACGGAAGAGCCGCAGTAGCAGCGCTGAACGTGCTCCGGACAGCAGTGAGGGAAGCAGCGCAATAGCTGAGATCAATCCCACTTAGTTAGAACTAGTACAGGTACTCGAGCTGCCCGTAAGTGTTACGAACCTTGATGCTGCGTTCCCGATTGCTCCTGGGTCATCAACACGTGTCAAAGTGCGCATCTCATTATGGACGCAACGTTACGCCTACCTGGCGTAGTAGCATCGAAAGAGTGGGTGGTCGTCCTCGCTGCAACTGATGCGCAGATATCGGCACGAGACCACGTGCACCATCGGATTGTTCTAGCTTTAAAGGCTGGAGGAGGTCTTCTGGATTGTGTAGCGAATGGGGGTGGAGACCAAGTAGAGCTCCACTCGAGGGACACCCGAGCAAAACAAAAAACAAAAAACTGCCATTGTCCCACTCGACTTCAAAACTAGACACAAGGAAAAACTGCTGGACTAAACCAACTGACTTGAACCTAGTCTCTTATAAACCTAGATTCTGTATGGAAATAAAAAGAAACCGTGAAATAGTGTTTCAGAGACTCCCTCTATATAAGGAATCATATTTACCTGTTGGGCTCCCCTTCCCGCCTGAAGCTCACAAGAATAGACGCACTCATTCTTCTTTTCGGCGCCCACAGTACTCGACTTGGCCTTGAAGTTTGTACGGCCGTTCTCAGAGCAGCACTACAGGCGCTACAATCGTCTGAATGACTGATCAAGTAATGCTGTACTCCAACACCTTGATCAAGTGTGCAGCACGGAAGCAGGCTTAACTAGATTCTTGAATACTTACTCGTGTATGAGGAAGGAAGTCGAGAGAGATTTCGACGATGTTAACGAAATGCACAATGAGGACTACAACAGAACCTTTCCGGGTCTTTTTGGCGTCTGGATGGAGCTACACGGAACGATTCCTGTACGTACAGCGATGTCAATATCGTCTAATAGCAATTGACGAACTCTGATGGTAGGGGCTTCGGTCCGAGTGATATTGCATCTCGTTGATACCTCAAATTCTTACAGGGAGCTATTTGTTTGGTCTCGATAGAATCCTAACTCGGTAGAGGGTTACTAAGACAGTCAACTGCACTACTGGTTTCCTCATCAACTGTCATTTACAAGTAAATATGACTCATCTTCACCCTTCACTCAAACTGATTCGACGCTTCTATTTTCGGACCTTAATTTACTTGGTAGAACTAGAGTACTGGGTTCTATATGAAGTCTGTTTGACAATACTAACGTCAACGTACAAGTTCAACAAATTTCGACGCGTCTTGTCGCTGAGCGTACAAGAACACAGATACTCGCTTTGGTTATTGCTGAAGGGTACCTCAGCGGGTTTTGGTAGTTCGTGCTAAAGAAATCATGGTTGTAATAACCTGTGTTGACGTGTACTGTACAGACGGCGTATGCTTGTTGCACATCTCGGAAGAGCGCGTATTATAAAAACTTCT